TGTTTCTAGAAAATAGGATTTTCTCCATTGATATGAATCACTGCACTATGAGATGAATGGCAATTTCTGATTTCCTCTAAAGCATCAGACATGGTAACTTGGCTCAGTTAAATGATGAACTCGTCTAGTTTGTTTTTACAAATAATTGGTGGTTTTGAAAAAGTGAACAATTTTCCTCTCTAATACTGTACATGTTTGTTCCTTTTTTTCTTTTTTAAGTGTGGCTGGTAAAGAGGATACTATAGACACTGACCAAGAGAAGAAAGAAGAAAAGGGTATTTCAGAAAAAGAAAGCAGTGAGTTAGAAGTTGTAAGTATGAAAGAATGAACTTGTAAATTTGAGTCCTTGAGTTAGGCTGTTCTTGACTGCTGGTAACTGTACTAATATATGTAGAAAAGGGACTTGGTTACCATGCATCCATTTTAAACTGTTTCCTGGGTAACTTATTATCTTGAGAAATGTGAGCTATAAAATATTAGCAACCCACAGTCTTTTGCATTGTGAAAGCATTGTGTTTGGTGGGGGATAGGATACAATGAGAGATGAAGTACTCTTTGATTTAAGCCAAAATTATTATAAAATGACATTAAAATTGTGGATTGATTTTTTTTTTTAACTGATGAAAAGTAAAATTCTTGCGCTCTTGTACTATGTACCCCAGCCATCTCTCTTGATGAGGGAATCAGTTTGCTTTGCCAATATTGTGCCGTTAATGGACACAAATCATATTTTAGGAAGAAAGTCAAGAAGTGAGTGATCATGAAGACGAGGAAGAGGAAGAGGAGGAGGAGGAAGATGACATAGAAGGGGGTGAAAGCTCCGATGAATCAGATTCCGAATCAGATGAAAAAGGTATTTGTCTTTTGGTACAAGGACAAAACTTCATTTGGGGAACTTGTTTAAGACATGACAGAAAACTCTTAACCTTCTTCATCTTTGAGGAAGGCACCTTTTATAACTGCTGACCTGTGTATGCCCTCCAAGGCTCATGTTTGTTCTCTTACTAGGTTTAGTCATTGCATGACGTCCATTTTTATTTAGTATGTGTCCTTGACTGATGTGAACACTCTATCTTGTTACCATTTTTTCAGTTTTTGGTGTATTCAGGTTATTTTCCTTACAGCTGCCAAGTGATATAGATGATAGTTTTCATGCTCTTGCTTAAAAGCTAGACTTACACGATAGCCTACCTTAGTATCTTTATTTTCTTCTTTTATAATAGCCAATTATCAAGCAGACTTAGCAAACATTACTTGTGAAATTGCAATCAAGCAAAAGCTGATTGATGAACTAGAAAACAGCCAGAGAAGACTGCAGACCCTGAAAAAACAATATGAAGAGAAGCTAATGATGCTGCAACATAAAATTCGGGACACTCAGCTTGAAAGAGACCAGGTGCTTCAAAACTTAGGTAAGAATTTTATTTAATTCAAATTAAAGTTCAAACTAAATTGTCGAAGTGGATTTTTATTTTGTCTTCCTTTGAAAGAAGAAAATTATATAAAAGGCCATATTAAATGTTAATTTGTCCCATTATGTTAAACATTACTGTTTGTTTTATTTCTTCATGCTGGTACCTGTCTAGACTATTTAACTATTTTTTTCCAAAGTTGTGGCTAATTGTTTTAATGCCTTGATTTATGCTGGGAAAAATTTTTAAATTTAAATAGATAAAAACTTCAGTAATTGTAAAATATGTTAGGAGTAGATAATAAAAGAGAAAGTGATTGAAAGACACTCTAGCCTCCAGAGGTTTGTATTTGGAAGGTATTTCTTCTCTAAGGTCATGAGTTGTAAATCTGTGAAATAAAAAAAAATCTGTTGTCTCACAAAAACAAATGCAAATATTGTTTGATCATTCAGGCTCAGTGGAATCTTACTCAGAAGAAAAGGCAAAAAAAGTTAGGTCAGAATATGAAAAAAAACTGCAAGCCATGAATAAAGAACTACAGAGACTTCAGACAGCTCAGAAAGAGCATGCAAGGTTACTAAAAAATCAGTCCCAATACGAAAAGCAATTGAAGAAATTACAGCAGGATGTGATGGAAATGAAAAAAACAAAGGTATTGATTATATTTTCCATTAATGTTTGATTTGACAATGCTTATGTGATTTGGGACCAAAAAAAAAATTATTGTGGTTTTTTCCATATTCAATAAAAGGCAACCCAGTCTCAGAAATGATGCACTTCCTTTGGTAATTAGAAGCTGTTTCCTGTAGTTTTCCATTATCAAAGCCTTTCTTTGGAGTAGCTGAAAATCAGGGCTGGTCAGCAGGGCTGACTTTGATGGATATTATTCTCTTAAAACTCTTATACAAGGTTAACAAAAGTAAAAGTATTTCAAACATGTGAAAAAGCACAGATAGTAACATAATGAACAATATATCCACTATCTAGTTTAAGATAGTAAACATTACAGATATGCACACAGTATCCCTATGTATCCCTTCCTGATCATAGTCTCTTTTCCCTGAGAGGTAACAACTATCTTGAATTTGGTGTTTAGCATTTCCATGCAAAGAAAAGTACAAATTTTCTTCCCGTGACCAAAAAAGAGTATGTGAATTCTAATCTGTTACAGATTTTATTGTGAGATAGGTTATTCTTAGTATTTGGCATGGAAATCAGTGTTGTTCCTAAAAATGGGAAATGTGGAAATAATTTAAGAAGTAGTTAGATAATTGCGTTGTGTAGTTGCTGATGACAGCAAAAATAGCTGAAATGATTAGGTGCTTACTATGTGTCAGGCACTGTTATAAGCACTGGGCAGGTGTTAACTCATTGACTTCTCAAAGAAATCCAGTCCCATAACACTATTACCTTTATGTTAAAGATAAGAAAACCAAAGCCTAGAAAGGTTAAGTGACTTGTAGTAACACAGCTACTGGTAATAAGTCCCAAAAATTCATTCAAGTTATACAACATCTGGAAGCATGTAATATTAAGCAGATAGAAATATGTTAGAAATGTATTAGAAATATAAATGTATTAATCTTACAGAAAATAGAATTGACCATTTAAAATGTATAGCAAAGCTCCACATTGTTTCTTCTTAAGTATTCAGAATCCTAAGGCTATACTTCCACACATGTGATTTATTTAATGCATATTGTGATCAGGTAATCACAATGGATGTATTTACCTAATATTTTAGGTTCGCCTAATGAAACAAATGAAAGAAGAACAAGAAAAAGCCAGGCTGACAGAGTCTAGAAGAAACAGAGAGATTGCTCAGTTGAAAAAGGATCAGCGTAAAAGAGATGTGAGTGAACTTCTGCTCTGAGTTATGTAAGAGTGTTGTTCATCAACAAGATTGTTCAATAAATGGAAGAGAAGTTTTGGGTAACTTTATTAAATGCATATTAAGGACAGTGAATAACCATTTTATAAGATGGCATTTATTACAGTATATGGATTATAGTAATTCAACATAAAAGTTTATGAAAAACACTGTAATATTATTATAAATTTTATTGGAAGCTTATTTCCTAGAGGAGGAGATGGAAGGAAATGGCAAAGAATTAACTGGTTATTTCTATGGAGACAGAGAAAGTAGTTGCAGTATTATATAAGATAGTGTTTTTAGGACGGTGCCAAAGACAGTTTTATCACTAAGAATTCTTCCAGTATTCCTGGAATAATAATCAGTCTTCATTAGAATAGGCTTTACTAAGAGCTATGAAAATTTTCATATTCTTTGACATAGAGTTCTGCTTCAGTGAACTCAGACTAAGAAAATAATTTAAACTAAGAAAAATCACAGTGGTTTGTTAAAATCTTTACTTTAGGGTTATTTGTAATAGTGAAAAATGTAAAATCAAATAAGATGTGTGACAGTAGGGGTAATGGTTAAATAAATTTTGGTTCATCCCACTTAATAGTTTCTTTTAAATATCTCATCCATTTATTTCTTTATGTATGTATTTATTTGAAGTATAGTTGATTTACAATGTTGTGTTAGTTTCTGACGTACACATAGTGATTCAGTTATACATATATATATGTATACTTTTTCATTATAGGTTATTACAAGATATTGAATACAGTACCCTGTACTATATTGTAGGACCTTGTTCTTTATCTATTTTATATGTAGTAGTTTGAGTCTACTAATTTCGATCTCCTAATTTATCCCCCCCCTTCCCCTTTGGTAACCATAAGTTTGTTTTCTATGTCTGTGAGTTTGTTTCCATTTTCTAAATAAGTTCGTTTGTCTCATTTTTTTAGATTCCACATATAAGTGATATCATGTGATATTTGCCTTTGTCTGACTTCACTTAATGTGATGATCTCTAGGTCCACCCATGTTGCTACAAATGGCATTATTTCATTCTTTTTTATGGCTGAGTAGTATTCTGTTGTACATATTCACACCACAACTTCTTTATCTAGTCATCTATCATTAGGCATTTAAGTTGCTTCCATGTCTTGGCTATTACAAATAGTGCTGCTATGAACCCTGGGGTGCATGTATCTTTTCAAATTGGAGTTTTCTCTGGATATGTGCAGAGTGGGATTGCTGGATCGTGTGGTAACTCTATTTTTAATTTTTTAAGGAATCTCTCTATTGTTTTCCATAGTAGCTGTACCAAATTACATTCCCACCAATGGTGTAGGAGGAATAAGTCGTTATTTAACCATTAAAATTTAGGATTTGGAAACTGCTTAGTAAAATGAACAATGACTATAATTTAACATTAATTGTCAAGTAGCATTTTATATATGCATGCTTGATTACAATTAGGGAAAATTTGAAAGATACATACCAATATGCTAACTGTGTTTATGTTAGGGTTATAGGTTACAGTTGATTTTTTTTTCTTTCCAAATTTTTGACAATATGGTTATTTCTTATGACCTTTTTTCTTAAAAGAAGAAGCCATCACCTTTCTTTACCCATAGCAGTTAGGTTTTAGCCTTTGTTCTTTCTTTCTTGTTCAACTTTTTCTAAATTTTCCTGAAAAAAAACATACAGGATATTTTAGAAAACAGAAGTCTACTTTGGGAGGTAAAGAGGCAATTTAAGGAGATAGAGAAGAGGGAGTAATGAGATAGAAAATTAGATATTTTAGCCAGGTGACTTCCATCTTTATGGCTTTATTTATTTATTGTCCCAGGATAGCAGTGTATTTTAATAAACAGTGTCTTTTGTTGCTTTCAATTCTTGGGCATTTTAGACCTTGTTTATACCAATACATTTCCACTAAAATCAAGTAGAAGCATATTCTAACATATTGCCTACTCTTCTTTTCTGGTTTTTTAAAAAGTTGAGATAATTCACATACCATAAAATTCACTGTTTCAAACTGTACAATTCAAGATTTTAGTATATATACAGATTTGTGCAACAATCCCCACTCTCTAATTTCAGAACAGTTTCATCACTCCAGAAAGAGACACCATACCCATTAGCAGTCACACCCCATTCCTCCCTCTCCCTAGGCCCTGACAGCAGCTTATCTACTTTCTGTCTATTCTGGACATTTTATATAAGTGGAATCATATAACATGTGACCTTTTGTTCTGTCTTCTTTCATTTAGCATGATGTTTTCAAGATTCATTCACGTTATAGCATTTGTTAGTGTTCATTCCTTTTTATGACTGTGTGTATAGAGCACATTTTGCTTATCCATTCCTCAGTTGACAGGCATTTAGGTTGTTTCCACTTTTGGGGCCACTTATTTTGTTTCTAATGAAAACTAAACATTTAATTTAATGAAAACTAAACATTTAGATGACACAAATAATTTCCTTATAATGTATGCTACCTATTTCTTTATTACTAATTCATATGATGTATAAAGAGATCAACAGTGAACAATTAACTTCTGGGATTGAATTTTTGAATCTTACCCGCAGTATATATGCCTATATTCTGTTATAAAGATGTGAGACTGGCTGTTCACCTAACAAAGCTAACATTTCAGGCTTTTTCCTCCCTTTAGTGTGTTGCTTTGTGTGTATATTCATCTTGCTTCTAAATTGTTTCTTATCATATTGAGCTTTAAATGCTTAGAGAACCAAATGTGTTTATATATTACATAAAAATATGAATGAGCTTGAGATTTGATTTTTAGTATGAAGAAACTTAGTATAATACTTCAAACTATAGGTTAATTTGAGATTTTGATAGTTCATTCAATTAAAAAAAGATTTATAACTTTGCTTCTATGTCTGTCATTATGGTAGGCAATTGAGTATGGCTGAGATATGATAGAGTCCTTTTCTCATAGAATTTCCATCTGATGAGATAAGAATATGTATAAACATGAGATGAATGATCAATTTGAATTTGGGATACAGAACATGGAGAGTTATTTGTTACATCACAGAATTAAAGTCCTAGAAGAGATGTTTGTGATCAAGTCCGGTTTCTAAGCTTTTCCCATGATCACAGAGTTGGGTAAATGACAGAATCAGGACTCGGATCTGTGTTTCTATGGGTTTTTTTTTTCTAGTCCAAAGTTATTTCCTAAATTATATCCCTATAACATGGCTTGAAGTAATTGTCCTTATCGTATAGACTAGGAACAAACTGGTAATGAATACTGACATGCTTTATTGTCCGTATGCTTTACCCAACATAATAATATTTCCCAAGTTATTAGAAAGTGCTGAAACAGTCAGTATATGTTCTCCCTATATTTAAAACAGAGTTTATGATTATTGTATATATTGTAAGATGCCTCTATTGAAAATATTCTAAGCTGTGTTTCTTCGTGGTAATGCCTCAGCCAGCAACCAAAACAAAATGTCTAACAAAAATGAAATGAGAAAATATTTGTACAGTGTTCAGAAAAGTATTTATATCTAGTAAGCCCTATGTTAGTGTTTGTTGAATAAAAGTATGTCACAGAGGTTTCATTTTTCAGAGAGAAATGACTGTATCAGTATGCATTTGTGTTTATTGGAACAAAATATATCTGTAGTAATGGGTACAGGATTATCATTAGCTCATATTCCTCTGAGAACTCAGTTCCCAGCGGAATGGGGAAATATGCTAATACGGGAGCAGGAAATATTTATCGTTCAGCTTCCTCTTTTAACTTATTCAATATTATTTTATAGCATCAACTTAGACTCCTGGAAGCCCAAAAAAGAAACCAAGAAGTGGTTCTTCGTCGCAAAACGGAAGAGGCAAGTTGACCGTTTGGAGGGAACATTCTGGCTTCGAGATAAATGATGTATTTCTATAGACTCAGAGAATGAGCCAATCTCTGTTGCTATTTCAGGTCACAGCTCTTCGTCGGCAAGTAAGGCCCATGTCAGATAAAGTTGCTGGGAAAGTCACTCGGAAGCTGAGCTCATCTGATAGCCCTGTTCAGGACACAGGTCCCAGTGCCACTGCCATGGAAACAGATGCATCGCGGGCTGGAGCCCAGCAGAGGATGAGAGTTCCCGTGGCAAGAGTCCAGGCCTTACCAACTCCCACAACAAACGGAACCAGGTCAACACGATTCATCTATTCCTCCTGGCATCATGTTTGCGTTATTACTGAATGTTGGGCTTAAATGAAAAACAGCTCATTATTTGGCAGCACATAATCAGATAAGCACCTCGGTAATCATGTTTGTCTGTTTTCATAATATAGGAAAAAATATCAGAGGAAAGGACTGACCGGCAGAGTGTTTATTTCCAAGACCGCCCGCATGAAGTGGCAGCTTCTTGAACGAAGAGTCACAGACATCATCATGCAGAAAATGACCATTTCCAATATGGAGGCCGATATGAATAGGCTCCTCAAGGTGTGGGGAACAGGAGGGACATGTGCTCTCGCTTTGCTGACTGCTAATTGTAGTCTTCTAAATACGTTCCTTGGGTAAACTGAGTATGTGTCAGGTTTGTTCGGGGGTGGCAGGGATGGGGGTTGACTCGTTGTGTATGAATAGATGAACATCATCTCATTTCTTTTTTTTTTTAATTGTGGTAACAATAGATACCATGAAATACCCCTTAACATATTTTAAAGTGTACATAGCATGGTTTTGTTAACTATAAGCACAATGTTGTAGAGAATTCTACACCTTATCTTGTATAACTGAAACTTTACATCCACTGAGCAGCAACTCATTTCCTCCTCCCGCCAGCCCCTCCTAACCACCATTCTACTTACAGCTTCTGAGTTTTAACTGCTTTTTTATTTTATTTTATTGAGTTATAGTCAGTTTAGTGTTGTGTCAATTTCCAGTTGTAGAGCACAATTTTTCAGTTATACATACACATACATATATTCATTGTCGCATGCTTTTCATCGTGAGCTAC